TCAGACACGATTCTATATTTTATTGATACAATCAAAATAAGAGCCAATATAGAATAACACGAGACTAGAAGTTCACTAACGATTTCCGTCAGACATATCGTATAGGTAAACTGCGTGTAACAACCGTATTGATACAATTGACTGTCCGATTACTAAACTGTTGTATATACCATTTATAATGATTCTTATTGTCCGCTTACGTTTATATCTATTCTTCGCTTACTAACATCCAGCATTCTCTAGGCTGGACCTGCACTAAAACTTATTGTATTCCGTTGTAGGATAATATATTTTCTTTTCTAATTTGTAAAACAAAATCTCACTTTCATTTGTTCCGCCTGATATTTTTCCTAAATTCCTAACAGTTGATTTTGGCTCGAACCCGCCTTTTTGGCACAATCCGGAGAACCGTATCGTGCGAATAAGGTTACAGTATATATGATGAAAAGAAAAATTTGGATACTTTAGAAATGATTTTGAGCAACGCCAATATGTGTTGGATAATGTGCGATATCTATTATGATATAATGATTATGATATTATGATATAATGCGTTTACAAATGATACAACACGCACCAATATGGTCGGTGTTGTGTTTCGACTTCAATTTTGCTAATACGCGATTATCGCTCCGAAATTTGTGTCGTGTTCGTGTTGTTGTCGGGTTTGTGTTGTTCGTGTTACAATGGTTGAGTTGAAATTGTATACATGTAACTGATATTTCTATTGCGTGTATACAATTAGACGGTATGATTAAACATAATAGTGAATATATATATCGCGGATGCCAAAGATCGCTGCTTTGCAATAGCTTCCCACAAATTCCGCACTTAGCAATTATTTCATAGCCTGAGCGAGCGTCGTAGGATTCGTTGACAAACTCCCAACATGGGCATGGGCGTGACTTAGGCTGGCGCAGCAGCTACACGTGCAACGCGCGATCGGCAATTGTTTCGGGATATGCACTCAGCCAGACGAAAACCCGTACACGGTGTCCAAAAAGGTCATGCACTGAATTTTATAGCAGTCTGGAGGAAAACAGATTATTAACGTGAGAGGGAGTCGGGAGGGTGGGTGGTGGGACTGATGGATTAAATTTAAAAAGAATTGAAAACTAAGCATAGAAGTATTATTTTTTCGTCTTATGAATAGCCGTATCGAATTTCCAAGACATCGCGATTGCTGATTTCAAAGTTATAGAGTACTCATCGATTCTGGAGACTGTAAAAAATACGTAAATAGGAAAATAGATTAGGAGAGAAACGCAAAGACACGTATCCCTTTTTTTCGTCCCAAGAATCGGTATACCAATTTGCAGCCCTTTGCGACTTCCGGTGGCAAAGTT